GAATAACATTTTCTTTCATAACTCATTTACCCAGCAGCTCGAGACTCAAGCATTTTAAATTTGCATGAAAGCAAGGACGGTCTAAATTGAGAATATTTTGAAAAATAAAACGCAAGCACGTGACCAAATAACGACTTTTTTAAAATGGGTGTAAAAATGTTTCCTAAATAGTTCGAAGAAAATCACTAAATATTTGAGTTACAATATCGATGTATAAAAAATAAATTGGCAATTATTATAAAACATTGGTTTCCAGCTATTGTTAATTTCTATAAATTAGTATTTGCCGTGACATGTTTTTAAAATCATTTAGGAAATAAACACTTCCTGTTTCGTATTTATCGGGGGTTTATTATCCAATTAACCATGCTTGAATTATCCATTAGAACAACTCAACGCTTTCGCGTCTCGTGTTCTAATGATTCAGAAAAGTAAGGGAGACAAAGAGAGTTTAATGTCTCGTCGTATAAGTACGTTGGTCATTTTTGCGTAAAATCAACTTGTCAACTTCCAGGCGTTACCTTGGAATTGGAATCAAGAAATTTCTTGCCGGAAAACACTAAGACAATTTCTATATATTGTAGCTAAAAGGTATACTAAACCATTTCATTCCATATGGTTTAGGGCTAAACTATGTATACGGCTGGAACAAATGACTTCCTTTATAAAGTTCGGATCAATCGATTCCACACGTTCTATTTGTTTACCTCATGAGCACAGTGATTTATACAATGGTAAACAATCAATATGTTAGGCGACTTTTCAGTGAATAACAGTGTAAATATTTTCATATAGTTTGGATTTCCTGGCAAGTATCGAACAAACCGCCACCTCTTTCCGGTTTTATTTTTCTGACACCAAGTAGCTATTGCTTTTTTAAGCTATAATTCTAAAAGTTTATGAGAGCGAGAGAGAGAGAGAGAAAGAGGGAGGGAGAGATGGCAACGTTTCGATTCCCCGCTTGTACACGATAAGCAGTAGTGTTGCCCGTCCAACCTCGCTGGTTTGCTCCCGGTCTTCTGGTTTCCTGCCACTGCCAAAGACCCCTACGCGCAAGCGATTTATTGAAATGACATTGAACCATGTTAGTCCGGAAATGACCTAGTTAGTGTCGAGTTGACGTTAATCCCTCTCTCTCTCTCTCTCTCTCTCTCTCTCATATCGTACAAACGAAAAAGAAAAATGGAAGGTTTATTGTCCATTTAACCATGCTTGAATCATTAGAACACGAGACGCGAAAGCATGGTTAAATGGACAATAAACCCCTGATAAATACGAAACAGGAAGTGTTTATTTCCTAAATGATTTTAAAAACATGTCACAGCAAATACTAATTTATAGAAATTAACAATAGCTGGAAACCAATGTTTTATAATAATTGCCAATTTAGTTTTTATACGTCCAAATTTAACGATCTTTTTTCAAATTTGGGAGGAAGCACTCTATCGATGATCACCATTCAGCTGCCTTCCTTTCTGGGGTTACCCCTGTTTGCCGAAAGCCTCGTGATCGCGATAATGGCTACATTTTTTAAGGGATCATTTCCAAATTTTGTGGGAAACAATGGAGTCATTTGAGGACAAAAAAATCAATCATCGGTGTTATGCGAACATTGGTTCCGGAGTTACATCCCCCTTGCCGATAACCTTGCAAGTGCGATAACGTATATAGTTATTACCTAAACGCGTTAGAGGTTAGTTTTTAACAGATCTTATTTTGAATATGGTGTAAAGAATTTTGGACATGATAGGACGATCCCTGTTGACAATCAGTCCTTTCCAGAGTTACCTTCCATTTTTCTAATTCGTTCGTACGATATGGCACAAGGATATAAGACACCCGTAAAATTATAAATAGGGAAGGAGGGAAGTAGACAAGGGGTGAAGCTGCTTTAAAGGGGTGTTCCGTCCGTCCAGAGAGAGAGAGAGAGAGAGAGAGAGAGAGAGAGAGAAGATTAACGTCAACTCGACACTAACTAGGTCATTTCGGGGCTAACATGTCATTTCTATAAATCGCTTGCGCGTAGAGGTCTTTGGCAGTGGCAGGAAACCAGAAGACCAGGAGCAAACCAGCGAGGTTGGACGGGCAACACTACTGCTTATCGTGTACAAGCGGGGAATCGAAACGTTGCCATCTCTCCCTCCCTCTTTCTCTTTCTCTATCTCTCTCTCTCTCTCTCTCTCTCATAAACTTTTAGAATTATAGCTTAAAAAAGCAATAGGCTACTTGGTGCCAGAAAAAATAAAACCGGAAAGAGGTGGCGGTTTGTTCGATACTTGCCAGGAAATCCAAACTATATGAAAATATTTACACTGTTACTCACTGAAAAGTCGCCTAACATATTGATTGTTCACCATTGTATAAATCACTGTGCTCATGAGGTAAACAAATAGAACGTGTGGAATCGATTGATCCGAACTTTATAAAGGAAGTCATTTGTTCCAGCCGTATACATAGTTTAGCCCTAAACCATATGGAATGAAATGGTTTAGTATACCATTTAGCTACAATCTATAGAAACTGTCTTAGTGATTTCCGGCAAGAAACCTCTTGATTCCAATTCCAAGGTAACGCCTGGAAGTTGACAAGTTGATTTTACGCAAAAATGACCAACGTACTTATACGACGAGACATTAAACTCTCTTTGTCTCCCTTACTTTTCTGTTTTTCGGAAACTTAATGTGACATGCTTAAGAATACATTCTGGTGGTCCTACTAATCATCGACAAGATCATTTTATTTGTCAATGGCGTCCACTTCAAAGTATTGCAAAATTGATCGACAAGCAAAGATATCTACATTCTACACATCATATCCAAGATTTTAAATGATTCCATAAAAACATACGAAATTATGGATATTTACATGTAGTTGAAATTTTGACAAAAACAATCTTACTGATCACTGACAAGAGTGCATTTGTGTCAATAATCGCCCAAAGAATTGAAAACAGTGACCGACAAGGAAAGATATGTTATATATAGATATGCATATTCTTCACATCATAAGAACGTTTTTCTCCAAAATTTAATTGTCCATTATTATTACAATGTTTGATGAACTCATTTAAATGTTGGATATGATGTGTAGAATATGCATATCTATTATTTTTCCTTGCTCAATATTATTTACATCATCCAGAAAATGTTGTTTGTTGACAAACTGTTATGGCGGACTATATAAAAACAATTCACCATTTTACGGCATTAGAAGTTTGACATCACACCAGAAGCCATTGACATTAAAAATGCATGAACTTTGCGACATAATCTGTTGAAGTTGAAGCTAGTAGTAAGTCACTACGTATACACACAGACAAGTTTAATATCGTTTCAATTACGCTCCAAATCGTAGCAATGATAAAGAATTCAGAGATTTTATAGTTAATCCGTACCCTATTTCCATGTATCAGCCGGAATAATGAAGACGTAGCTGAAATAGCTATGAGGTATATTTTGCTCGGACAGAGGCGCTATGGCCTACTCTTATTTCGAAGTTCAACTGTCATTGGTTCTTTAACGTGCACAGGAACGTTTACACGGCGCCTGGGGTTTTCTCCCACCCACACGACTAAAGACTGGCTGGGTGAAACCACTCTAGAAAATCCCGAGGAAATTTCTCGGTCAGCACCGGGATCGAACCCCGGGTGGAATGGTTAGTGAGGCTGTGCCCTACTCACTGAGCCAATGTGGACCCCATCCTATGATGTAACAAGCAAACAGCGATGTCCCCCGCCGCATGCCCAAAATAAATAGGCTTCCATCCTAGGTCCTTATAGGCGATAACCTGGAGAAAAGAGTACTTGCGGCCAAATTATTGCGGGGGGGGGGGGTAGCCCTCCAATACCCCTAGCCCCCCCCCCCACTCCACCGGGCCTGACACATATTGATTAATTGCATATTAAGCTTTTTCAAAAATATCGAGCAATCATACTGATTATATATACTTAGTCTAATCAGGAAATGTTCACGATCGAACTTTGTAAAGATTTTTAAGATCCATCACTCTCACCCAATTAGAACCAAATAGTTATCGTGTTCGAAGGTCTGAACCAATCAAACTGTTTATCTCAGTTTAGCCTCAGTGGAAAATGTTCATCATCATCATCATCGAGAGAGAGAGAGAGAGAGGGAGAGAGAGAGAGAGATGGGGTTTAACGTCCACTCGACACAAACTACATGTAGGTCATTTCGGGACTAACACATGGTTCAATTTTATTTCAATAATTCGCTTGCGCGTAGGGTTCTTTAGCAGTGGGAAGAAACCGGAGGACCCGGAGAAAACCCACGAGGTTGGAGTTCATCATCGAACTCAAGTTTGAAGATTCTACCTCAGTTAGGAGAGTCATTGTCTTCCGAAATCTCAACCAATCATATTAAAGTCTCTACTTAGCCTAAGCAGAAAATGCCCATCATCGAACTTAGCCAAGGTATTCACTTCACTCAATTCGAATCAAAGTTATCGAGCTCAACTGATATAACTGCTTACCGCTCTGCTTACCCTGAGCAGAAAATGCTAAATATCGAACTTGGCCAAGGTATTGCTATAATGAAACTATACACTAAGTTTCATTACCCTCACTTAATTAGAGCCAAAGTTATCGTAAAGCATCAACCAATCAAATGGTGTATCATTGGTTAGCTTAAGCAGAACATGCTCATCTTCAAACTCGCTCAATTAACACTGGCACCAAGTTTGAACATTCTAACTCATTTAGGAGAGTTATTGTGTCCCAAAAATGTGACAGACAGACGGACGGAGAGACAGGCCCATTTAATAGTTTCCTAATTTCTTCGAAAGGCGGAGGATAAAAAATGCAAAAGATTGCTAAATCTTTAGGTAGTAAACGGGGTCAGGTTTGAATGACTACCGGAGAATCGTATGGGCGTATCGTACACCTTTATCTTGTTGTTCTTCACTAATAATTAGAATATATATATCTCCACATCACATGAAATATCCATTTTACATGATAGTAACTACATGGCACTGGATCAAAGCATAAATTATAAGATTTACAAAAATATATACTTTTTATATGTGTTCACAGTCCACTTTTTAATTCAACGGTAATATAAAATAAACATAAGTAGTACATCGTACTAAACTGATCAGCATTCTGATCGTTAGGCACCATCTCCGCGCATGTTTTACTGACCTCTTGAGAATGTTTTTAGGTTGTATGTTTTGTTAACAATGAATATGTATATCAGCTCCCTAACATGCCGGCAAACAAAGAATTGTATAAGTTACAGGCGGAGTAAACTCTCCTCCTACTTATAAAAAGTCTACATGAAGCAAAAGAAAACAATGATAACTGAATTAATGATTTAGTTGTCACTTATTTCCCAGGAAAGGACAGACAATATGAGTGTCGCTAATTTTATCATTTCCAATATGTCTTTGGTATATTATAATAATCTAATTACTTTAGAGGCACAACTGGTACACAGACAGACGAAATATCATTAACATCTATAAGAGAAACGGGTGATTGATAGCTACACATCCCAATGGAGATGCGCTTCATTTAACAAAGTGCTTTAATAAATGTAAACACAAAACAATCTCTGGAGATAAATAGCTGACATTAGCTGACATTAATTTTCCCTAATCTGAAGTGTCTGGAATATTTTTCCTGTAAGATAAGTTTAAACAGTAGAAGAACTGTCCTCTCGACCTTCCTTACGAAATGAAATAGTGACATTTCCATTTGTGTACTCAATTGTCATATATTTCGTGACGCTGGAATAGCCACGAGACCTCTGACGTTTTGATCTCGCTGCAAAACAAGCCAACATGTTCTTAAAACCTCGTCGGAAATTCTTGCTGAAGAAACAATAAATGATAGGATTGATGCCACTGTTTGAAAGTTCCAACCACTGTGATATGGGAACGGCGACATTCCAGATAAAATGCATAGTCTCAGAATCGGTAGGCGGCGAATAGTAGAGTTTGATAAATATGACATGCAAGGGCATCCATGAAAACGTAAAAAGAAGTACCATAACAGCTAACATTTTTACCACTTTGATCTTTGACCTCCTGATCAATTGGTTATCCTTGGCAACACCAGGAGCATGTCTGTTCCACACCCTCAATCCAATAAAAATATAACACAGGAAGACTACACTCAAGGGCAGCACATAACACCCGATAAATATAGCACCCATAAAATATCCGCGCTGCGACTCAAAATCAGGCCAGATTTGATGACACATTCTGATCACTTGATGCGGGGTTTTATGTTCATATTCTTCGTAGAAGATGGCCCACGGTAACATCAACAGACAAGAAAATACCCATATCGTAACTACTGTCACCCTTGCTGTTTTCGTTGTAGTACGCCATCGTATAGAGTGACAAATGGCAAGATACCTGGAAATACATAGAAAAAAAGATATAAAAAACATATTTTATACGTACACTTTTAATGCTGCTGTAAATTGTCACCCACACCCAGCCCGCTTTCCGGGCGAAATTTCCCTCATAGCACACTGCATGCTCGTCTTCATCGGCCCAGTCGGTGCAGAAAAGTAGGACGCTAAACCCCATCTCATTTTATTTCCCACATACGGTGTTCGTTAACATAATTAAACTTGTTTATTGATGACACTCTTTCAAACTATTATGTAAAATTCATATCATGAACAAAGTAGAAAATCAACAAACAGCTTTAACCAATAGATGTTTTTAAAGATTTCACTTTCCATAACGATGAACATTGTCGATTATCAATGACAGTTTAGGGATATACCATCCAAGTCATATGCTACCTCAATATGTTCCTATTGGGAGGTGCCACGGTGCCTCAGTGAGTAAAGCGTAGGCTCACTAACGATGTGTTTCTCGAGATTTCCCAGCGTGATTTCCCTTGTCAGAGTTGCCGGACTTCAGGCCTGTGTATCTTTTGAATACACTGCAAAATTATTGATATTTTTCGTTACTACTTGGCTAAAATATTAAGCTCTACCCATCAAGATCACATAGGACTGTTGGAATAAGGCTAAAATATTAAGCTCTACCCATCAAGATCGCATAGGACTGTTGGAATAAAACTAATCAAGAAACCCTCGTACATGGCTACAGATAACTGTGTCTTTTGTTAATGCGCATAATCGTATCAGCTTTATAGTAAACCATAACGACATTCGATCCATCTTCGTTATTACTTGTAAATATGTAGCACTGACGGGTTATTGCCTGGTTTGAACTATGCACATAAGGGTGAACCCAATTTTATATAAAAAAAATCCACAATTGTTTAAAAAATTATTGTCCATGGATCAGGAACCCGCGAAGGCTTCAACTGGGGAAAAGCTTGTCGATGACCCTTTTCGAAACTTACGCGGTTTAATCATACTTACTATCATACGGATGTTTACTGTCGAAATTTCTGGAGCTGTTGGTTTGTTTTTTAAACATCATTGTAAACTATCAATATAGATTTTAACCAGGGGTTGCCAGGCAAGATACGCCCACATTTTGAAAGAGATGGGTAGAGAACAAGCTAAAAAAAAAAGCTTGTTATGATCTGAAATGCGCGAATATCGAAAGTACCCAAGATTTTTGGGTTATAAACATGGATTTCAAGTTTCATCAAATCGGATCAAAATTGTGGCCTCTAGAGGGTCCACAACCTTTATATACCATATATTTACACTATTTGCGTACGAGAGGCAGTCATTTTGTCCGGCAGTTTTGCTACGATTTTCACGAAATTCGAACTCAACCATCATTATGGTGTAACGGCGATATATTCAAACGTTGTCTTAAATCGGATAAAAATTGTGACCTCTTAGAGGGACGATAAGCTAAAAACGCGATTTCTTGTACAATCAAGGGTTATAATTCAAGAAGTTAGGATCCGATATGCGCGAATATCGAAAGGGTTATAAACAAGTTTAATCAAAATCGGATCAAAATGGTGACCTCTAGAGGATCTGCAACCTTGATATACCATATTTTTACAAAATTTGCGTACGAGAATAGGTCATTTTGTCCGGCAATTTTGGTACAATCATGGAAATATCGAAAGGAACCAAGATCTTTGGGTTATAAACATGCATTTCAAGTTTCATCTATATTAGATGAAAATTGTGACCTCTAGAGTGTCCACAAGCTGAAAACGTGATTGTTCGCCATAATCCATGAAATTTCGATCCGACATATGCCAATATCGAAAGAAACCGAGATGTTTTGGAGAAAAACCTATATTTCAACTTTCGTCAAAGTCGAATAAGAATTATGACCTGTAGAGTGTCCACAAACAAATTGTGGACGGATGGACGGAGGGACTGACGTCCGGACGAACAAGGGCGACGACAATATACGTCCCCATGAAAATGTGGTCGTATAAAAACCAGACGAACCCTATGGAAAATTAATACATTTTCTCAAATATATAGAAATTATTGCCCTTGCCTTGACAATTTTATGATTTGTTCAATTATTGTGATTTTATTTGATCCTGACTCTATTGATGCGAGTAGGCGTCCAATACCTATTAATGGAACTGAGGAATTGATGAATAATGGGGTTTACCGTCCACTTGACACAAACTAGGTCATTTCGGGACTAACACATGCTTGAATTTGATTTCAATAATTCGCTTGTGCGTAGGGGTCTTTAGCAGTGGCGAGAACCCGGAGAAAACCCACGAGGTTGGACAGGCGACCCTACTCCTTGTCACGTACAACCGGGGAATCAAAACCTCGCAGTTCACTGAATGACAGACCTTATGATACAACGCGCACGGGCTAACCATTCGGCCATCCAACCACCAACCATCCCGTAAGTGCAACAAGTGATAAATGACAATTGAAAACATGTTTCCATTGTATTGAGAGATATTTTTTAACTAGGCCAATACTACAGACAGTGATTTGTTATGTTTATAAAACACTGAAGATTGAGAAATACTAAAATTAGATATGAAATATTTCACCTACATAGGGTAATATTTTGCTCGAAATATATTTTTGTATAGTTCCAATGTGTGACTACTGGGGTTTAGCATCCTAGCTAAATGGGGATTACGACCTGTTTCAATGGTGCTAATATATATTTCAATATTTATTGAAGCAGAGGTCTATCATGCCGCAGAACTGACCAAAAACAAAACAAAATAACATGGCTAAATAATCTTAATGCAAATGCCTTGTCCCAAATACACTGGATAAATGAAATAGATTTCCGAACAACGGTGCCCTTGGTTAACATTAGCGGTTACTCAGGGTATAAAACATTATAATAGTCTTCGTGAATACATTAATTGAGAAAATTTAGTAAAACGCTTAATTATTGGAAAGGGCACAATTGATACATTTTTACACCCTCGGCCCTGTTTCACAAAAACTTAAGCTAAAATCACTAAAATAGATTTTAACTAAAATCAAAATGAAATTTTAAATTTTATGCGTCTCACGAAAATCGATTGTAACTTAAAATACAATTTTAATAGATTTTAGTTAAAATTGCTAGCACCCGCGCAGTGACATTTCCGGTGCGGGCAACATGCGCTTCGAAACTGTTGACAGGTTGAACTAACGGTTACAATATCAATGGGGAGAGCTTCATACGTTTTAGCAATGTTTGCACATGGTCAGACAGTCGTAGAGAGATGAAATAAATGAGTTTATTGCGTATTATTCGTTTCGAAATGTATCGGTGGGTTGGCCTTGAACTTGTATGGCGCTTTCGTGACCTTTGCATTTGATTGTCTCGCAGGCTTCAATGGAAATAATGCGTATCGATAAACTAAATAGCTTGAATTTCGTGTTTTATTGTATTTTGGACATGAGAAACTATTGAGAATTGTCACAAACATATTTATGACTCAAACGACTCAATTAAAATGATTCTTCCCTAAGATAAAATAGCTTTGACTCCTATGTGTTATTAACGTAAGCCTTCATTAAGAAATATTAACAAATTTTTATTAAAATTTAATTTCAAATAGGCCTATAACATATTTCTGTAAACATATTTGAGATTATTGATTTATCTTTTTACAGATCATCATAACCCCAAAAACATATGAGTTTTGTCTGTTAAGTATTTGGGAATAGTATAATTTATACTTGTATCATATGGTAAAACAGTAACAAAGGGTTTTGGGTATTTGGGTATTGAGTGTTTGTTTTCTTGGGGTTCTAATTTGGGGCGCCATCTAAATGCTTAAATTGCCTTACAATAAAATAAACGGGTGGACCGCACCGTAGCTGTATATCCCATGAAAAAAAATTGAATGAGAATTGTTTCTGTGAATGATGGATGTTATGTTAAAATTATGTGGCCCAGACCGTTGGCAATATTATCATTATTCCAATTATATCTATATGTCACAATAGATCTAACAGCATAGCCCTAGTCAATGTGTGTTACTGTTGTGATTTAAAGTTAGGAGAGGGTGGTGGCTGTCCTAAGTTAAAATTGATTTTAGTTAAAATTATCCCTATAATAATAAATTTGTAAAACGTCACTATCTGAAGTTAGATAAAATTTTAACTTAAAATATTGTTTTAGTGGATTTTATCTAAAATGCTTAAAATCTGTCTGTAAAACTCATCTATATAAGTTAGGATGAAATTTTACTTTAAGACGATTTTGTTTTTGTAAAACAGGGCCCTGAACGATAACACAAAAATACAAATAAAGGCATCTCAAAACCTTGGGGATAAACACGGTGGACATGCACATTCATTCTATTGTGGAAGAAGACGTTAACACACCAACAGAAGAGACGAAATGAAATATAATATTCACTAATATTACAGACTATGTAGATAAAATAAGACTCCGCGAACAATGAAATGAAGTAAAATAGTGTTGAACGTCCTACTGTCCGGATCCTACTGGGATAATGAAGACGGGTATAAGTCATGTAGTGTGCTATCAGGAACATTTTTCCCGGATAGCGGTGTTACGACCTACTCTAATTTCGAATTCCAACGGTCAAGGGTACTTTTACGTACACGCCAATGTGTACACGGGACCTCGGTTTTTCATCCCATCCTAACGACTATACGTTGTCATTTGCAGACCCTCCGCCCTACATCACTGGCAAGGCGGAACCACGCCGGGAAATCTCGGCTAACGCAGGGTTCGAACACGAGTTCTCCAGGTTAACGAGCCAATGTCTTACAGTGGCGCCCCAAGAGAACAAGACATACATTTCAAATTGACGTTTAGACGGGATGTTAAATTTACTCTCTTAATACTGGCTTTTACATTGACATTTAAATTATACAGAATGACTTTCATAATGGACATGTATCTATATATAAAACTACCAATTCAGATTCTAATTAAGAGCACTATAATTACAAAATTGTCTTAAATTGGAGAATTGTTTATCTGGGACAATTATAAAATTT